TAATTATTACACTGAAACCCAGAGTACGCCGTTTCCAAGACAAGTGATTAGCAAATTTGGCGTTTTCCAGGTTGAAAATACACGGGCAGGACCTTTGGGCAGAACACCTCGACCCACACCAAACCAAATTCCCGTAGTAGGGCAAATCTTAGTTTCGAGAAAAGAGTGCATTCGAGGCTCCTAATAACTGACCACAATCCACACCACCAGATGGAGAAATAAAGTCTAAGAAGAGACCTAAGCCTTAAAACTTCTTCGGAGAAAGAAGCCTCTTTTTTAAAAATTGAAGCACGTACAGCAACATGAGATGACATACCTTGTAGGCTAACTGCAAAGCCAGCTCCAAAGCGGGCAAAAGACCCTTTGGAGAGAGCATACACCAGTCAAAAAAGGGTTCCTTCTCCCCGGAGCGGGGGTGCGTTCGTATGTCCAGAACCTGAGCAATTGTCCGCCAAAGTCGTGACCAGATTTGGCCATCCAGAAGCATTTGAAGTAAGGAGGCAAACAGTTGCTGTGGTTGCAAAAGACGATGAAAATGAATTAAAAGCCGACCAACAGCATCAAAGCAACAACAAGAGCTAGGAACAGAAATATACAAGTTCGCATATAAAAAGGAAGCAGAGACAAAACAGAATCTCGGAAAGAAATAAGTCCTAAATAAATATCGCTGACCACTAGCAGTGCAAATATTGCAGGGCTTAGCCAAGTTAGGTGCAAACCAAAAAGCTAAAAAACACGAAGGAGTATCCGACTATGATGAGTACACGACTTGTCCAGAGCCCTCAATCCCAATTTAAAATAGGCATATTTCGATGCAAGTTACAAATCTCATGGTTGCTAACTCTTAAGACGCGACCTCGCAGTGGGACAGAAAAACTAGTCCTTTGTTTCTGAAGGACTTCAAAGGGAGTTAGAGAAGATCACACAATGAAAACAGGCATACAGGTAACCAACAGTGTGTACAAGTAAGGTAGTGAACTTTTCGCCATAATGATCGTGAGGGTGACTTTCCTTATCAATCACAGTACCCACCCAAAAATCTAACAGCGCCTAATATTCCTCAAGAGGTACATGATGAACAGAGACAATAGATAAAAGAAAGCTAGAGAAAAATGAGCTCTAAGAAAGAGTAGTTTAACTCGGCGAAACATAAGCCTGGGCTTTCAGTTAATACCTATGTTGTCGGTATGGCCTATCTGGTAACCTACACAACTGAATTCTACTCTCAATTAGAAAGCAGGCTAAACAAAAATTTGAATCAGGCTAATTGGCGTTAGTATTACAGTCCAGTATTTTACTAAATGACTATTATTACCAATTAGTTCGAATTATACTGAAATATGTAGGAAACGGTTACCTGATGTACAGAACAACTGTTCACGAGGAGGAAAAGCCCATCAAGCCAGCCAGTCTCACAGGGCCATACGGTCATGGGCAGGCCAAAGAGAATGCTGGCATCGTGAGAGCTGCCATTGTTACTACTATGCTCCAGACTGTTGGATGTGGAGAGACTGAGGATAATCTGGCCACTGGCAGGACGACTATTCACCTGTTGGCCGCCCCGAGGTGTTTCGCTGTGGGGTCGTGTGTGCACCATACTGCCCTCCGTGAGGAGACGCTTGCGAGCCTCGCGGTTTTGCGCGAGAGGACTACTCAACACGAGGGAGAGAACTCGCGCTAGATCCGCGGCTTCTACTACGGGGATCAGAGGCTGGTAACGGGCGAGTAGCGATAGTAGCAAACCCATTGCCGCCTAAAACAGACAAAAGTCAGGGGTGAAAGAGAAACTAACATCAGCAAAGAACGGGTTGAAAAGGAGTGGTAAAAGAAAAGTGAGAGTTTGAAAACCACGCAAAGGAAAATCGGGAGAGTGTGCTTTACTCCTTAACGTACTTAAAATTTCACGCCTAAGTGGAATTAATTAAAGGGTTCTCTACCTCACTGGGTACAGAAAAGGTAAAGGCAATCAAGCAAGGGGGATGGTTCAATATATTTTCTTCATCATTTACTGGCAAAGAAACACTGATGCAGATAATCATTGAAAAGATTGAAAATTTAAGAACAGTAAGAGCATAGAGCGCTTTAAACAATAAACAATTTACAGAAAAAAAGCAAAAATGCTACTCAAAATGAACTCTCTTAGTAGACAGAAAACATTGGAAACTTACGGCATGACTTGGCAGTTGGGAGCTAACGAAGAGAGCTGACAGCTTTTTGATTCGAACCGACATTCTATAGAGTAAGAACGAATCTCAAAGCGTGCCGGAAAATTGGTCAAAAGGAAATATTTCGAAGGAGATATCAAAATCGTAAAACCGAAGTATGGAGTATTGAGAGGCGGTACATTGTGTACACGATTTTTTGACGCGTTCACGAAAAGAAGCTGTCAATATTTTTCCCCCTTGTATATAGGAAAAAGACATACCGAGTCGGCCTGTGTTTATTCAAGGGCAAAAACTTAGCGTATAAAACTTGTCAAAATTTATTTTTAATAGCTGCATAATATGCTAACTGCAGGCCTTCGACGTTTAAATCCATTTACTTCGACGAAGGAGATTCTAGGTTAGGTGACTTGGCGAAGCGAGACGGGAACAGAAACGGCCAGAAATACAGGCGACTACAAGCTAAAATCGAGAATAATGTTTACGACTAAGGTCTGGATAAGCCCTAGGATGAAGACACGGGCATAATTACTCTTCCTGGAATTTAGCGCAAGGTCACTTGCATTAGGGGGAGGGGGAGGTTCATATAAGCGCTTTCAATTCGGGAATTCGGTTTATTGACGTTAAACACCGTTTAGGCACGTGCTCAACTGATCTGACTGCCAATCATCTTCGCGTTCGTTCAAGGTACTTGCACCCACAGTAATTATTCGGTTGTGAGCAACTCAGACAATATATTACACGGAATCAGCCTGCATACTGAGGCAGAAACTTGACAACTAGACTATGTGATCACCTGGCATTTGTCCCGGTAATCATCAGTTCTCTGATTTGCATACGCCTTTGCGCGTTAGCGTGTCCTCCGCCTTCTTTTACTATGTTTTTAAGTGACCTTGTTTATCGATCAGACTATGAGTGTGCTGTGTTCTCCTTAGCCCCTATCCATGTTACGCAGCGACATGTAGCAGTTGAGAGGACGTTACGAAGTTTCTGGATTGTGTGTCGCTACGCTATAGGCTAAAACGACTTTAGACCAGAGGCCCAAGGCAAAAGAGAACGAGCATGTCGCGTTTTGTGCACACCCTGGCTAAGCATAATCTCGAGAGGACTTTGATTACTTTGCATCGTAAAGCAAGGGAAAACGCCCAAACTAAAATGCCAACAGCGGAAGAAGGACCAGGATATCACGTTATGCATTTCCGAGAAGGCTGTAAAACACTACTTTAATGACTTCTTTTAAATGACGCTTAGGCGTAAAGGATTAAAAAACACAGACTATGTAGTGTGCAGACTATATATAAAATTAGCGCGCTAAAACCACGCTAAAGAATAAAAAAAAAAGATTGCTGCGAAACATACGCATTGGGAATACTCTGCAGCGTCATTACAATGCAGCTCAGTGACACAACTGCCAATTCGATGAGATGAGCGTGTTCAGCTTGCGGTTCTTGAAACTATATAAACATCAAGAATACAGGGTACGTAAGTGTCTGTTTATTCGGTTAAAAAGTGTTTAAAAAAAGAAGACTAGCAAACGCGGAGCTGAAAGACCCCTGACGGCAGTCTGACGGTGTAAGTTGATTACAACACCAAAGTGTATCCCTGAGTTGGTAGACACATCTCTTACTACTGCGGCAGCTAGGTGAAAAATCGATCTTCTCACTGAGAAGGATGATTAGGTAAGAATGAATTGTATGAGCACCTAAACAAGATACAACAATAGGGACTTCCCGTCCACTTTCCTTCCGATAAATTTTAGGAAGGGTACACAGTTTCCGTGTCCTATTTAGGCGGCTATACAAGTCATCCTTACCGATTATTTTTATATGATAGGAAACAATGGTCCATGATTTGCTGCTGCATATCTCTGAGGGCGCTTGGGCGAAAAGGTGGCAGGCAAAAGGAGAGGCAGAAGATACTACCAACACCTGAGGCTGAATGTTTGAGCGAAACAAAGTCTAAAGGTATTTTCTGCGTGATAAGACTAGGAAGCAACAATCAGGAAGGATAATGGGATGAGGAACACGGATGCAAAGTTGACTGCCCCTTTAATACTGTGGCACCTCCAGCAAAAAAGAGGTCACCAAAGATTTTGTTAAATAAGACATATTCTGGCAACCTGCACAGGATGGTATACTCGCAAAGATAAACTGTACCAGAAATTCCAAAATATCGACGAGATTATGGATGTAGGCAGAGTCATCAGATGCGAGCAAAACAGCAAGCGACGGCGATGCTTGCACACAGTCATAGAGAATCTGAAGGAAAAAATATTCAAAAAACTATTTGGCCTTTCGGATGCAGGATTATTGCTTGATGTGAAGCGTTAAAGAAGTGGAAACGAGGGAAATCTTAAATATAAGTACCAATAGCACGCGGATTTTTATTATAATCTTTTTCGTGCAAGTCGCTACAAAAGGGAAGTGGGACCAGTCATCAGAAGGAGGCTTCAGCCTGTGACTCGGATAATCTAACCAAAAAACAAACGGATACGTGGATAAAGAAAATTTCTAGGAAACCAGGCATCCTTTGTAGTGAAGTCCAATCAAAAAATAGTCTACGAGAAACTTCTTGAAGTTCACTAGGCCTTCCTGGCTCACAATCAAATTATTGAATAGAAATATTTTAAGATTAAGCCGGAAGCCAGATTTCCTCAAACCTTGAGACTTTAGATGTGGATGCAAAAACACAGGAAGAAATGACGCGCAGGGATATTAGTCAACCTTAGAAGGTAACATAAATTAACAAATGACAAGGTAAGGAAAAAGCCGAAATAAATTGCAACCGGCCCTTAAAACGGAAATATGTAGACAAAAAACAAACCTTGGCGGCAACTGTGCAGAATCGTGTTTCTCGAATATCGCAAACAAAGGTCTGTAGGTAAGGCTTCATTTTTCTATCGCAGAAAAGTGATCCGATGTAGGAAGCCAACTAAAGGAAATAGAAAACATATTTACCATTCCTTGTCGCAAATGAATTCGAAACAGAAGACTGCTGCTACAGTCAGGTCCGAAAGCATGAGGACTAGCAGGTCTGGTAGACAGGAGGCGAAAAAATTACAGCACACTGGGAAATGCTATCTCGGGAAAGGTGGCTCAACAATGTGCGGATAGCCTGCCTCAGACGATTCAATGGTCCACCAACGAGAAAGCAAACACGCAAAGAGCAGTACCTTCGAGTATTTGGCCTAAAAAATTTCCTTGCTTAGATACACGAGGCTCTGTAGATAATTTAGCCAATGTCGTCGGATCATCAGAAGTGAGTACAATCCTGCAAGTCCTGCAAACAACTTTCATGACGAAATTTAACTTGGTAGTTTGGCATATAGTTGGACAGGTTATTTTGATCAGCTGAGTGGATTTAATAATAAAAAGGGTTTTGGTTTGGAAAACTGCCCCCTTAGTTAAAGTTATTGAGGCACTCATTTTGGCTAAATCATGAGTAAGTTTATATTAAAGAAATGCCCTATGCTATAAGGTACGACACAACTAAACTTTTTACTAATATATATTGTTCTGTGGAAGAATTTCGTCATTAGTAAAAAAAGGTGGAATAATAATGCCTTCCAGAACTGGAAAATTTTGTGCGAAGTTGATCAAATGGAAGTGAAGTCGAGTTTAAGGAATCGCATTTATTTTCAGAAACAAGCAAGAATTTAAGTTTTAAAAATTATGTTTAGCCATTCTGTGAAGTTTTTTTGCACAAAATGCAGTAACAAAAGGTTTCGTCGCGTTTTGTTTAAAGCTCACCACTGACCTTGCACATAAGCAAACTTTGCCATACATGTTACCGCGAAGGGGACTAAAGAAGGCCTTCTTGTATGTAAGTCATGTAGAAATATACTCAATGAGTTCCGCTCAAGCGTTATTTAGAAACGGAACAGACAGAAGAATAATAAGTATTTCAAAAAATGGTGATATATGTGGCCCGTTTTTTGCATTCGCAAGCTTATAACGGATCGTGGAATTAATCCCCTTAAGAGGAAAATAATCCGTTATAAAGAGAAAAGTATGTTTTTTCATCTCCAGTCAAACTGAATCGTTTATCTTCAGGCAAATCAAAGAAATTGTCAATAGTCTCCAATTTCCCTGTGACATCACCTTGGAAAAAGTTAATATTCACAGAAGTTCGTTAGCTAAAT